GAGACCAGAGAGAGACCAGAGAGAGACCACCAGAGAGAGACCAGAGAGAGACCAGAGAGAGACCAGAGAGAGACAACAGAGAGAGACCAGAGAGAGACCAGAGAGAGACCAGAGAGAGAGACCAGAGAGAGAGACCAGAGAAAGACCAGAGAAAGACCAGAGAGAGACCAGAGAGAGACACCAGAGAGAGACCAGAGAGAGAGAGACCAGAGAGAGACCAGAGAGAGACCAGAGAGAGACCAGAGAGAGAGACCAGAGAGAGAGACCAGAGAGAGACCAGAGAGAGACCAGAGAGAGAGACCAGAGAGAGACACCAGAGAGAGACCAGAGAGAGACCAGAGAGAGACACCAGAGAGAGACCAGAGAGAGACCAGAGAGAGACCAGAGAGAGACCAGAGAGAGACCAGAGAGAGACCAGAGAGAGGCCAGAGAGAGACCAGAGAGAGACCAGAGAGAGAGACCAGAGAGAGACCAGAGAGAGACCTGAGAGAGACCAGAGAGAGACCAGAGAGAGAGACCAGAGAGAGACCAGAGAGAGACCAGAGAGAGACCAGAGGGACCAGAGAGAGACCAGAGAGAGACCAGAGAGAGAGACCAGAGAGAGACCTGAGAGAGACCAGAGAGAGAGACCAGAGAGAGAGACCAGAGAGAGACCAGAGAGAGACCAGAGAGAGACCAGAGAGAGACCAGAGAGAGACCAGAGAGAGACCAGAGAGAGAGACCAGAGAGAGACCAGAGAGAGACCAGAGAGAGACCAGAGAGAGAGACCAGAGAAAGACCAGAGAGAGAGACCAGAGAGAGGCCAGAGAGAGACCAGAGAGAGAGACCAGAGAGAGAGACCAGAGAGAGACCAGAGAGAGACCAGAGAGAGACCACAGAGAGAGACCAGAGAGAGAGACCAGAGAGAGACCAGAGAGAGAGACCAGAGAGAGAGACCAGAGAGAGACCAGAGAGAGACCAGAGAGAGACACCAGAGAGAGACCAGAGAGAGACCAGAGAGAGACCAGAGAGAGACCAGAGAGAGAGACCAGAGAGAGACCAGAGAGAGACCAGAGAGAGACCAGAGAGAGACCAGAGAGAGAGACCAGAGAGAGACAACAGAGAGAGACCAGAGAGAGACCAGAGAGAGAGACCAGAGAGAGAGACCAGAGAGAGAGACCAGAGAAAGACCAGAGAAAGACCAGAGAGAGACCAGAGAGAGACACCAGAGAGAGACCAGAGAGAGAGAGACCAGAGAGAGACCAGAGAGAGACCAGAGAGAGACCAGAGAGAGAGACCAGAGAGAGAGACCAGAGAGAGACCAGAGAGAGACCAGAGAGAGAGACCAGAGAGAGACACCAGAGAGAGACCAGAGAGAGACCAGAGAGAGACACCAGAGAGAGACCAGAGAGAGACCAGAGAGAGACCAGAGAGAGACCAGAGAGAGACCAGAGAGAGACCAGAGAGAGGCCAGAGAGAGGCCAGAGAGAGAGACCAGAGAAAGACCAGAGAGAGAGACCAGAGAGAGAGACCAGAGAAAGACCAGAGAGAGACCAGAGAGAGACCAGAGAGATTGGACCAAAGCAGATCTGTTGAATTCAGTGAAGCTGTTTTTAACACAATAAAACAGTTCCATCTTTTTGCAAAAAGCACAAAACAAACTGTGACTTGTACAACAGCAGAACAGCCTTATATACAGTCCTGTCCTAGTCCTAGTCCTGTCCTAGTCCTAGCCCTGTCCTAGTCCTAGTCCTGTCCTAGTCCTGTCCTGTCCTAGTCCTGTCCCTGTCCTGTCCTCGTCCTAGTCCTGTCCTGTCCTAGTCCTAGTCCTGTCCTGTCCTAGTCCTGTCCTGTCCTAGTCCTGTCCTAGTCCTGTCCTAGTCCTGTCCTGTCCCGGTCCAGAGTCTGAGTCCACAGAATCCAGACATGATTGTGGCACAAGGCAAAACAACAAACTAAAAGCAGGAGTATAAAAACAAGAGAAACCCCGGACTACGGCAGTCTCAGGTGATAAATGGTGAGTCCGGTCTCACCGTGGTCCTCGGTCTCACTGTGGTCCTCAGTTCATGGAACAGTTCACATGACTAAAGTCTGGGTTCGTTTCCCAGAACGAGCAGTGATCACATGACCCTGTTCTACCTCAGACGAAGGCACTTTAGAGGCAGAGTTGTGTGTCCGAGCGCCCCCTGGTGGTGCTTCAGTGTAATGCTGTCTGATCCCAGCGCAGTCCTCAGACACATCCAACATTCTTGTGGCTATAGTTGGATTTTAAACATGGGTTTGGTCGAATTGGAGATTTTTGCTGGTTACAGAGACAGGAAGTAAATCTCTCCATTAATAACCATGTAAATCAGAGCGAGAGAGACCAGAAAGAGAGACCAGAGAGAGACCAGAGAGAGACTAGAGAGACCAGAGAGACCAGAGAGAGACCAGAGAGAGAGACCAGAGAGAGACCAGAGAGAGACCAGAGAGAGACCAGAGAGACCAGAGAGAGACCAGAGAGACCAGAGAGAGAGACCAGAGAGAGAGAGAGAGAGAGATAGAGAGAGAGAGCTGCAAACACAGCTGACAGTCTTCACTTCACTATAGTAACCGAGGAAAACAAACAGTCAAAAGGTCGTCTCAATGAGGTCTACACGGCGTATGCTGTGTTGAGTTTTCTCTCCAATAATAATTCTATTTCATTCCTCCTGACCACCAGAGGTCAGTGCATAGCACTGACAGAGCGCCTCTGGCAGTCATCCAGGATTCATAGAACCGTGGTTCCATACGTAACCTTCGTTAGACCAACTATAAGCTATTGCACATTTAATGCATCGCCTTGTTTCTCCTAAAGGAGAGAAACCCTTCCTGTCTATCAAGAGAAACCCTTCCTGTCTATCGAGAGAAACCCTTCCTGTCTATCAAGAGAAACCCTTCTAGTCTATTGAGAGACACCCTTAATGTCTAAAGGAGAGAAACCCTCCCTGTCTCAGGTGAAGCCAGTTTTGGCGTCACATGGTTCTTTGTTTCCAAAGTTCTTCTTGTTGTGACTTGTTGACTTGAACACAGAGCTATGGGACTTGAACACAGAGCTATGGGACTTGAACACAGAGCTATGGGACTTGAACACAGAGTTACAGGACTTGAACACAGAGCTATGGGACTTGAACACAGAGCTATGGGACTTGAACACAGAGCTATGGGACTTGAACACAGAGTTATGGGACTTGAACACAGAGTTATGGGACTTGAACACAGAGTTATGGGACTTGAACACAGAGTTATGGGACTTGAACACAGAGCTATGGGACTTGAACACAGAGTTATGGGACTTGAACACAGAGTTATGGGACTTGAACACAGAGTTATGGGACTTGAACACAGAGCTATGGGACTTGAACACAGAGCTATGGGACTTGAACACAGAGCTATGGGACTTGAACACAGAGCTATGGGACTTGAACACAGACGCTCTCGTCAGACGCTGGTTTGAACCCAATCCTTTGATCACTTATTGCTATCGATACTTCACAGATGACTCTCCTCTGCACTGTAGGTACTGACCAAACCGGACCATAGGGCTCAGTCAGAAACTGGACCATAGGGACCAGACAGAGACCGGACCATAGGGCTCAGAAGTACATTCAAAAACGTCTTTCTTTCTCAGTGCGTTCTTCGTCAAAACCATGAAAATCCACTGTGAGAAAAGGACAGAGTTTGTAAAAAGATCCAAAAGTCTCAACGATCAGCGACTGGACCGTGCTGAGTGCAGAGACGAGAGAGAAACCAGAGGGAGACCTGAGGGAGACCAGAGAGAGACCAGAGGGAGACCAGAGAGACCAGAGGGAGACCAGAGAGAGACCAGAGAGAGACCAGAGGGAGACCAGAGAGAGACCAGAGAGAGACCAGAGAGAGACCAGAGAGAGACCAGAGAGACCAGAGAGAGACCAGAGAGAGACCAGAGAGAGACCAGAGGGAGACCAGAGAGAGACCAGAGGGAGACCAGAGAGAGACCAGAGAGAGACCAGAGAGAGACCAGAGAGAGACCAGATAGAGAGACCAGAGGGAGATCAGAGAGAGACCAGAGAGAGACCACAGGGAGACCAGAGAGAAACCAGAGAGAGACCAGAGGGAGACCAGAGAGAGACCAGAGAGAGACCAGAGAGAGAGACCAGAGGGAGACCAGAGAGAGACCAGAGAGAGACCAGAGAGAGAGACCAGAGGGAGACCAGAGAGAGACCAGAGAGAGACCAGAGAGAGAGACCAGAGAGAGACCAGAGAGAGACCAGAGAGAGACCAGAGAGAGACCAGAGAGAGACCAGAGAGAGACCAGAGAGAGAGACCAGACAGGGAGACCAGAGAGAGACCAGAGAGAGACCAGAGAGAGACCAGAGGGAGACCAGAGAGAGACCAGAGAGAGACTAGAGGGAGACCAGAGAGAGACCAGAGAGAGAGACCAGAGGGAGACCAGAGAGAGACCAGAGAGACCAGAGGGAGACCAGAGAGAGGCCAGAGAGAGACCAGAGAGACCAGAGGGAGACCAGAGAGACCAGAGGGAGACCAGAGAGAGACCAGAGAGAGAGACCACAGGGAGACCAGAGAGAGACCAGAGAGAGACCAGAGAGAGACCAGAGGGAGACCAGAGAGAGACCAGAGAGAGAGACCAGAGGGAGACCAGAGAGAGACCAGAGAGAGACCAGAGAGAGACCAGAGGGAGAACAGAGAGAGAGACCAGAGAGAGACCAGAGAGAGACCAGAGAGAGACCAGAGAGAGAGACCAGAGGGAGACCAGAGGGAGACCAGAGAGAGACCAGAGAGAGAGACCAGAGAGAGAGACCAGAGAGAGAGAGTTTGATTCTCTGATCTGTGTTGGTGAATCGACAGCTTGGTAAAGTCGTCAGAGAGAACGACTGATTCAGGGTCAGAGAATAATAAATGTACTGAAATAGAAAGCAGGTGTTTCTGGATCAGTCTGTTCTGTGTCTCTCTCTCGCACATAATCCAACTCCACGACCAGGAACGCAGTTAGCTCGGCGCTCTCACTCCTTGTAGGCCAGCCCCAGGGTCGGGGGGGGTGTGTGGGTGAGGACCGGCCTGGGCAGGGTGGGAGGGGGGGTGGGGCCTGCCCGCTGGAACATTCCCTGCAGCTGACGGTTCACCAGAGCGTGGTGCCCGGTGCTCTCCTGGAAACTCCTCAAGTTTTCCTGAAAGCGAACGCTGCTCTCTCTCTCCAGCCGGCTGCTTTCCTCGTGAGTGCGGTGGAGATCCGGCGTGGTGGCCCCTCCCCCTCTCTCTCCACCCCCTCCTCCCCCCTCGTCCCGGTTCAGGGTGGACTCCCGGCTGGACGAGGCCACAGACTGACTGTCGGAGCCTCCATCGCTGCTGGCCTCCACGGGGGTGACCCGGATGGTGGTGAGGGACTGGGGGTGAGGGTGGAACGGCGGGGCGAAGGCGGCGGGGGGAGGGATCGGTGAGTTTGGGTTGGGCGAGCTCGGGGGGAAGCTGGGGCTGCTCGCCGGCGGGAACACCGGGTGAGGGAAGCTGTTGTGGTCGGGGTTCGGATGGGAGTTCTGGAAATGGTTGTTCGGCTGCTGGAACTGGCTCAGGTTCTCAGAGTGTTGGTAGTTGCTGGAGTTACTGCCGTGGTGGTAGTTGTTTGGGTCGCTGCCGTGGTGGTAGTTGTTTGGGTCGCTGCCGTGGTGGTAGTTGTTGGGGTTTGAGTCTCCGATGTGGTGGTAGTTGTTGGGCCCGCTCTGGTGGTGGTAGCTCTGGTGCTGGAACGTGCTGGGGTTGTTGCCGTGGTGATACACATTGTTGGGATTGTTCTGGAAGTGGTTGGTCTGGTTGTTGGTCTGGTGCTGGTAGTTGGGGTTGTTTCCCGGGTGCAGTGGGTGAAGCGGGTGCATGACGTGGGGGTGGTTCTGGTACGACGAGCCTCCGTCCGGACCCGGCTCGGCCTGGATCTCGTTGCCGATGACGCTGCGGCGGCCGTCCGGAGGGCCCAGATCGTTCATGTCTCCGTGGCGACCCAACTCGTTCAGGTTGAAGGCAGACTGCCGCAGAGACGGTCGCTGGTCTGGAGGCTTCCATCGCCACGAGCCGCTGCCGTCGGTGCTCGGAGGCTTCACCACCGGCTTCGACTTGGACTCAGGGTGGGCTTCAACACGCACGATACTGCCGCTTCTCTCCAGACCACCTGCAACAGAGAAGGGTTAGTCCAAAGACACAGGGCCCTGGTTTACGACCGGGGTGATGTGTTCTGAAAATAACCAACAATTGGGTAAATGTATGTTCTATTTCATCCCCTCCTGACCACCAGGGGGCAGTACGTAGCACTGAATACTCCCTTCGCCCATGCGCAGTTCGAGTAGTTACACCAAATGAGTCACCAGTGACTTTACATCAACAGAACCAGCTCTCTTCACCGGAGACCAGAGAGAGACCAGAGAGAGAGACCAGAGAGAGAGACCAGAGAGAGACCAGAGAGAGAGACCAGAGAGAGAGACCAGAGAGAGACCAGAGAGAGACCAGAGAGAGAGACCAGAGAGAGACCAGAGAGAGACCAGAGAGAGAGACCAGAGAGAGACCAGAGAGAGAGACCAGAGAGAGACCAGAGAGAGAGAACCAGAGAGAGACCGGAGAGAGAGACCAGAGAGAGAGACCAGAGAGAGACCAGAGAGAGACCAGAGAGAGAGACCAGAGAGAGAGACCAGAGAGAGAGACCAGAGAGAGAGACCAGAGAGAGACCAGAGAGAGAGACCAGAGAGAGACCAGAGAGAGAGACCAGAGAGAGACCAGAGAGAGAGACTAGAGAGAGACCAGAGAGAGACCAGAGAGAGACCAGAGAGAGAGACCAGAGAGAGACCAGAGAGAGAGACCAGAGAGAGAGACCAGAGAGAGACCAGAGAGAGAGACCAGAGAGAGACCAGAGAGAGAGACCAGAGAGAGACCGGAGAGAGAGACCAGAGAGAGAGACCAGAGAGAGACCAGAGAGAGACCAGAGAGAGAGACCAGAGAGAGAGACCAGAGAGAGAGACCAGAGAGAGAGACCAGAGAGAGACCAGAGAGAGACCAGAGAGAGACCAGAGAGAGACCAGAGAGAGAGACCAGAGAGAGAGACCAGAGAGAGACCAGAGAGAGACCAGAGAGAGACCAGAGAGAGACCAGAGAGAGAGACCAGAGAGAGACCAGAGAGAGACCAGAGAGAGAGACCAGAGAGAGAGACCAGAGAGAGAGACCAGAGAGAGACCAGAGAGAGACCAGAGAGAGACCAGAGAGAGACTAGAGAGAGACCAGAGAGAGACCAGAGAGAGACTAGAGAGAGACCAGAGAGAGAGACCAGAGAGAGATAGAGACATGCGTGAGGGGTCCCAGACCTCCTCCTGTGATGACTCCGGTGGTGGAGGCGGGGGGAGACGGGTCCTGGTCAGTCAGAGCTCGGTACCGGATTGACCCAGTGCAGCTCAGACTGCTGCCACCGTCCTCCGAGCGCGGGGAGTGGAGAAGGCCCTGCTGTTTGGACAGAGAGATCACCTGCAACACACACGATGGTGCGATGGTTAAATCTGTCCACCAGGTGTCAGTGTTTCCCTAGAGCAGCAGGAGTAGATTTTATTTCAAATGTTTTGAGGCAAACAGTAACAGTGCAAATACTCGAGTAAGTCCTCTTCATATAGTACGCCTCACAGTCCAAGGTCACAGAGAGCGTTTTACAATCTCAAATTCTAATCCAACTCTTACTCCAACTGCAGCAGGGTGGCTGAGTGGTTAGCCTTAGGCCTCTCCCCTGCCTAACTCTCCCCCCTGCCTGACTCTCCCCCCTGCCTCACTCTCCCCCCTGCCTGACTCTCCCCCCTGCCTGACTCTCCCCCCTGACTGACTCTCCCCCCTGCCTGACTCTCCCCCCTGACTGACTCTCCCCCCTGCCTGACTCTCCCCCCTGCCTGACTCTCCCCCCTGACTGACTCTCCCCCCTGCCTGACTCTCCCCCCGCCTGACTCTCCCCCCTGACTGACTCTCCCCCCTGACTGACTCTCCCCCCTGCCTGACTCTCCCCCCGCCTGACTCTCCCCCCTGACTGACTCTCCCCCGACTGACTCTCCCCCCTGACTGACTCTCCCCCCTGACTGACTCTCCCCCCTGCCTGACTCTCCCCCCTGCCTGACTCTCCCCCCTGACTGACTCTCCCCCCTGACTGACTCTCCCCCCTGCCTGACCCTCCCCCCCTGCCTGACTCTCCCCCCCTGCCAGGCTCCATTACCTGCATGAGTCTTGGCTGCCCGCCTGCACTCAGAGGTCGGCAGGGCAGGGTGGTCTTCTCAGCCACACGGAGCCACTTCTCTCGGACCGAGCCCCCGTCCATCAGGCTGTCCTCGGACTCGCTCTCCTGGTCTCTGATGTGGTCTCTGCTGTCCTCCTCCGGAATGTGCACGAGCTGAGAGGAGCCGGGGCGGGACTGGACCGAGACACGAACCCCTCCCATGCCCATGCCCTGTCCCTGGTGCCCGTGGGGGTTCTGCCCGTGGGGGTTCTGCCCGTGGGGGTTTTGCCCGTGGGGGTTCTGCGCGTGGGGGTTCTGCCCGTGGGGGTTCTGCCCGTGGGGGTTCTGCCCGTGAGGGTTCTGCCCATGGGGGTTCTGCCCGTGGTGGCCGCTGTGGTTGTGGTTGGGCACAGAGCTAGCCGCTAGCTTCATGTACTGCGCGGGGATGTGTGCGTCCTGCGGGCTCATGGCGGACAGGTGGGGTTCGAGACCCAGGGGCGGCTGAGGCGGCTGCGGCGGGGGCTCCTGGCTCCTCTGTGGGCTCGGGCAGGGCACAGGTCGGATCCCGTCCATCACCTGCAGAGACACTTTGCGGCTGTCGTTCTTGTTCTTCCATTGACTTAGCAGCTGCTTGGAGCGAGTGGAGTCCATGGAGGCGTGAACTGAGGCCAGTCTGCGCGGGACCCGGCCCTCCTCCAGGGACGACCCGCCGTGAGACCTGAGCACAGAGGTCAACGGTCAGGGACGAGGTTTAAAACTAAGACCTAAGCTCAGAGGGTGAAGGTCAGAGACCTTTGAGTGTGCAGAAATGTTATTATTCTACAAAACACATTTTACAGACTTCATCCAAGACTTGTGAGGTTTGATATGTTCCAGTCTGGCTTTAGACCCGACCAGACTGAGGCCCCTGTAGACTGAGGCCCCTGTAGACAGAGACGCTGCAACAGTAAATTGTTAGAGTTGGGTAACGGTTAGGCCTCTTGTTTCCATGGAGACTGTGTTACAGGTGAAAACATAAGCGTTGAGAACCAGCCTCAGACTGGGACGGCTCAGACACGCTGCTCAGCAGGGGGCGCTCTTTCACACCCGCCTGAAGAACAAGGTGTGAGTTCCCTGCTGCTCTGACCCCACTTCCCCCACATACATTTGGACATGCGCAGTGGCCGAGAACCAACGTCAACAACAATGGCGGCGGGTAGCTAACTAGCTACGTGTGCTTCGAGCGCTCCTCGGAGGAGGATTCTACTCCTTTGTCCAAACGAGACTGTCATGGTGTGGATTTTTATTTCTGTATTTGGTTTTATTTTGACATTAGTTCCTCTGTGTTGATTGTCTGCCCCGCCCTGATGTGTTTCACCTGTGTCTGTGTCTATATGTACCTGTGTCTATATGTACCTGTGTCTGTGTCTATATGTACCTGTGTCTATATGTACCTGTGTCTACATGTACCTGTGTCTACATGTACCTGTGTCTATATGTACCTGTGTCTATATGTACCTGTGTCTATATGTACCTGTGTCTATATGTACCTGTGTCTACATGTACCTGTGTCTACATGTACCTGTGTCTATATGTACCTGTGTCTATATGTACCTGTGTCTATATGTACCTGTGTCTATATGTACCTGTGTCTACATGTACCTGTGTCTACATGTACCTGTGTCTATATGTACCTGTGTCTATATGTACCTGTGTCTGTGTCTATATGTACCTGTGTCTATATGTACCTGTGTCTATATGTACCTGTGTCTATATGTACCTGTGTCTACATGTACCTGTGTCTATATGTACCTGTGTCTATATGTACCTGTGTCTGTATCTATATGTACCTGTGTCTACATGTACCTGTGTCTATATGTACCTGTGTCTATATGTACCTGTGTCTGTATCTATATGTACCTGTGTCTGTATCTATATGTACCTGTGTCTATATGTACCTGTGTCTGTGTCTATATGTACCTGTGTCTATATGTACCTGTGTCTATATGTACCTGTGTCTATATGTACCTGTGTCTGTGTCTATATGTACCTGTGTCTGTGTCTATATGTACCTGTGTCTGTGTCTATATGTACCTGTGCTTCTCTCCCCTGTTTTCTGGTCTGTTCTGTTAGGGTGTTCCTGGTTGCTTTGTTGTTTTGTTTTGACCTTGGACTTAATTTATTAAATCTTCATTTTTGGCATTACGGCGTTTGAGTCCTCACTCACCCCACCTTGTGACAGAGACCACGCGAAAGAATGTTAAAGAATGATGTTGGTTCTTTCCCGAGGAGGATGTTGTTGAGGAAGAAGTTGAAGCTGCTGGGGGTCGCGTGTGTCATTTTGTAAAGTTCCACTGCCCCCTACTGGCCAGGCCTGAGATCGCTTTGGAGACGGAAACAAACAATATACAACCCTAACCCAAAGTCATCAGACAGAGACCAGAGGACTGGGTGGTCCTCACAGAGACCAGAGGACTGGGTGGTCCTCACAGAGACCAGAGGACTGGGTGGTCCTCACAGAGACCAGAGGACTGGGTGGTCCTCACAGAGACAGGAGGACATGGACAGAGGAATCAAACAGGTCCGAGTGGATCCTGGTCTTGGTCTAGTTTTCACATGCATGTGTCTTTGGCCTCAGTCACATCTTTGAAACAGCTTTTTCAGACATTGCAAACACAGAGACCAGAGAGACACCAGAGAGACACCAGAGAGAGACCAGAGAGACACCAGAGAGAGACCAGAGAGACACCAGAGAGACACCAGAGAGACACCAGAGAGAGACCAGAGAGACACCAGAGAGAGACCAGAGAGAGACCAGAGAGACACCAGAGAGAGACCAGAGAGACACCAGAGAGAGACCAGAGAGACACCAGAGAGACACCAGAGAGAGACCAGAGAGACACCAGAGAGAGACCAGAGAGACACCAGAGAGAGACCAGAGAGACACCAGAGAGACACCAGAGAGAGACCAGAGAGACACCAGAGAGACACCAGAGAGAGACCAGAGAGACACCAGAGAGACACCAGAGAGAGACCAGAGAGAGACCAGAGAGAGGGAGACCAGAGAGACACCAGAACGTTACCAGAGAGAGAGAGACCAGAGAGACACCAGAGAGAGACCAGAGAGACACCAGAGAGAGACCAGAGAGACACCAGAGAGACACCAGAGAGAGACCAGAGAGACACCAGAGAGACACCAGAGAGACACCAGAGAGAGACCAGAGAGACACCAGAGAGACACCAGAGAGACACCAGAGAGAGACCAGAGAGAGACCAGAGAGAGGGAGACCAGAGAGACACCAGAACGTTACCAGAGAGAGAGAGACCAGAGAGACACCAGAACGTTACCAGAGAGAGAGAGACCAGAGAGAGACCAGAAAGAAACCAGAGAGAGACCAGAAGGAGACCAGAGAGAGACCAGAGAGACACCAGAACGTTACCAGAGAGAGACCAGAGAGAGACCAGAGAGACACCAGAACGTTACCAGAGAGAGACCAGAGAGAGACCAGAGAGACATCAGAAAAATGGCAGAGAGAGTCCAGAAAGAAACCAGAGAGAGACCAGAAGGAGACCAGAGAGATACCAGAGAGAGACCAGAATGATACCAGAGAGAGAGACCAGAGAGAGACCAGAGAGCGACCAGACTCGGGTCTTGGACCTGGGCAGGGTGCTGCTGTTGAAGGAGCTCATGTCCCTGATGTCCCTGGTGCTCAGGGGACTAGGAGGAGACACCAGCTCCACTTCAGCGCTGGTTCTCTTCATGGTCATAGAGGGCTCCCGGTACGAGGCACTGCGGGTCAGCATGGGCAGCTCCGAGCTGGGGATCAGGGAGTGGGAGGAGGTCCGGGTGATGATGGGCTCTGAGGGGCCGGGGCCCAGGGTGTGGTGTCCTGAGCACAGAGACACACACTGAGCTCCACAGGACACTTTACTATGTACCATAGGCCAATAGGAGCCAGAGAGAGTTGGAGCCAAACTTGGTCCATGAGCACTTCCCCTCTTAGGCATCATTGAACAAACAGCATTATCCATCTGTACACAGGCTGTGTTCAGGATATTAGCATGGATGGAGCTAAAAACAACTGTTTAATGTTCTAACATGGGTAAAGCTCTGTCTGTCTGTCTGTCTGTCTGTGAGAGTGTCTGTCTGTCTGTCTGTGAGAGTGTCTGTCTGTCTGTCTGAGAGAGTATCTGTCTGTCCGTCTGTGAGAGTGTCTGTCTGTCTGTCTGTGAGAGTGTCTGTCTGTCTGTCTGTGAGAGTGTCTGTCTGTCCGTCTGTGAGAGTGTCTGTCTGTGAGAGTGTCTGTCTGTCTGTGAGAGTGTCTGTCTGTCCATCTGTGAGAGTGTCTGTCTGTCTGTGAGAGTGTCTGTCTGTCTGTCTGTGAGAGTGTATGTCTGTCCGTCTGTGAGAGTGTCTGTCTGTCTGTCTGTCTGTGAGAGTGTCTGTCTGTCCGTCTGTGAGAGTGTCTGTCTGTGAGAGTGTCTGTCTGTCTGTGAGAGTATCTGTCTGTCCGTCTGTGAGAGTGTCTGTCTGTCTGTGAGAGTGTCTGTCTGTCTGTGAGAGTGTCTGTCTGTCTGTCTGTGAGAGTGTCTGTCTGTCTGTCTGTCTGTGAGAGTATCTGTCTCTCCGTCTGTGAGAGTGTCTGTCTGTCTGTCTGTCTGTCTGTGAGAGTGTCTGTCTGTCCGTCTGTGAGAGTGTCTGTCTGTGAGAGTGTCTGTCTGTCTGTGAGAGTGTCTGTCTGTCTGTCTGTGAGAGTGTCTGTCTGTGTGAGAGTGTCTGTCTGTGAGAGTGTCTGTCTGTCTGTCTGTGAGAGTGTCTGTCTGTCTGTCTGTGAGAGTGTCTGTCTGTGAGAGTGTCTGTCTGTGAGAGTGTCTGTCTGTCTGTGAGAGTATCTGTCTGTCCGTCTGTGAGAGTGTCTGTCTGTGAGAGTGTCTGTCTGTCTGTGAGAGTGTCTGTCTGTCTGTCTGTGAGAGTGTCTGTCTGTCTGTGAGAGTATCTGTCTGTCCGTCTGTGAGAGTGTCTGTCTGTCTGTCTGTGAGAGTGTCTGTCTGTCTGTGTCTGTGAGAGTGTCTGTCTGTCTGTGAGAGTGTCTGTCTGTCTGTCTGTGAGAGTGTCTGTCTGTCTGTGTCTGTGAGAGTGTCTGTCGGTCTTTCTGTGAGAGTGTCTGTCTGTCTTTCTGTGAGAGTGTCTGTCTGTCTGTGTCTGTGAGTGTGTCTGTCTGTCTGTCTGTGAGCGTGTCTGTCTGTCTGTCTGTCTGTGAGAGTGTCTGTCTGTCTGTCTGTGAGAGTGTCTGTCTGTCCGTCTGTGAGAGTGTCTGTCTGTGAGAGTGTCTGTCTGTGAGAGTGTCTGTCTGTCTGTGAGAGTATCTGTCTGTCCGTCTGTGAGAGTGTCTGTCTGTGAGAGTGTCTGTCTGTCTGTGAGAGTGTCTGTCTGTCCGTCTGTGAGAGTGTCTGTCTGTCTGTCTGTGAGAGTGTCTGTCTGTCTGTGTCTGTGAGAGTGTCTGTCTGTCCGTCTGTGAGAGTGTCTGTCTGTCTGTCTGTGAGAGTGTCTGTCTGTCTGTCTGTCTGTGAGAGTGTCTGTCTGTCTGTCTGTGAGAGTGTCTGTCTGTCCGTCTGTGAGAGTGTCTGTCTGTGAGAGTGTCTGTCTGTGAGAGTGTCTGTCTGTCTGTGAGAGTATCTGTCTGTCCGTCTGTGAGAGTGTCTGTCTGTGAGAGTGTCTGTCTGTCTGTGTGAGAGTGTCTGTCTGTCCGTCTGTGAGAGTGTCTGTCTGTCTGTCTGTGAGAGTGTCTGTCTGTCTGTGTCTGTGAGAGTGTCTGTCTGTCCGTCTGTGAGAGTGTCTGTCTGTCTGTCTGTGAGAGTGTCTGTCTGTCTGTCTGTCTGTCTGTGAGAGTGTCTGTCTGTCTGTGTCTGTGAGAGTGTCTGTCGGTCTTTCTGTGAGAGTGTCTGTCTGTCTTTCTGTGAGAGTGTCTGTCTGTCTGTGTCTGTGAGTGTGTCTGTCTGTCTGTCTGTCTGTGAGAGTGTCTGTCTGTCTGTCTGTCTGAGAGAGTGTCTGTCTGTCTGTCTGTGAGAGTGTCTGTCTGTCTGTCTGTCTGTGAGAGTGTCTGTCTGTCTGTCTGTGAGAATGTCTGTCTGTCTGTCTGTGAGAGTGTCTGTCTGTGTCTGTGAGAGTGTCTGTCTGTCTGAGAGAGTGTCTGTCTGTCTGTCTGAGAGAGTGTCTGTCTGTGAGAGTGTCTGTCTGTGTCTGTGAGAGTGTCTGTCTGTCTGTCTGTGAGAGTGTCTGTCTGTCTGTCTGAGAGAGTGTCTGTCTGTCTGTCTGAGAGAGTGTCTGTCTGTCTGTCTGTGAGAGTGTCTGTGAGAGTGTCTGTCTGTCTGAGAGAGTGTCTGTCTGGCTGTGTCTGTGAGAGTGTCTGTCTGTCTGTCTGTGAGAGTGTCTATCTGTCTGTCTGTGAGAGTGTCTGTCTGTCTGTCTG